AGAAAACATTCGGACAAATTAAAAGAAATACGCGACACAGTTGGTTTGTCAGAACGCATCTCATCACTTCAAACCGACACATTGTCCCAAACTATTGTAACTAAAAAGCAAGTGTGGAAATATTATATAAAACTGTCAGATGTTAAAGCGCAGTGCATGTTTTGCAAAAATAAGTATAATTATTTACACTTTGCATCTTTCAACGTACATATATCAAAACATCACCCAAAAATTTGGAAATGTGAAAAAGAGAAAAATCTAATAAAATCGCCATGGATGTATTTCAGGTATCAAAATAAATTTTATTCACAATGTATTATCTGTGACACAAATGTTCTGTCTACATTTAAATCTGTAGAAAATCATTTAAACTCGCATTCTGAAGAACAACGGAAGAATCATATACTTCGCAACTGGTCGTGGAAATATTGCATAAAAAGAGATGATTTTGTGGTGGAGTGTAATATTTGTCACACCAACGTATCTATTTCTGTTAACTCTTCTCTGAATAATCATATAAAAATAACACATTCGGAAAAATTGAAAAATATACAAGAAACACATGACACAGCTGGATCGTCAGAACGTGTTTTATCACTTGAAACGGACAAAATGCCTCTAAGTATTGCAACTAAAAAGCATGTGTGGAAATATTACATAAAACTGTCTGATTTTAAAGCGCAGTGCAAGTTTTGTGAAAAAAAATATAAATATTTAACCTCTACAAATTGTTATACACATATATCAAAACATCACACAAGAATTTGGAAATACGAAAAAGAGAAAAAACTAATAAAATTGCCATGGATGTATTTCAAGTATCAAAATAAATTGTATTCACAATGTATTATCTGTGATGCAAATGTTCTGTCTACATTTGAATGTGCAGAAAATCATTTAAACTCGCATTCTGAAGAACAACGGAAGAATCATATACATTGCAAATGGTCGTGGAAATATTTCACAAAAAAAGATGATTCTGTGATGAAATGCAATATTTGTCACAACAACGTAACTGTTTCTATTGGAACTCATCTTATTGATCACATAAAAATGATACATTCGGACAAATTGGAAAATAAACAAGAAACACACGACACAAATGGTTCGGCAGAACGCGTTTTATCACTTGAAAAAACAGACACAATGTCTATGTCACCAAAAGATTGTTATTTCGATACGTCTAACTCTTGGATACATATTAAAAAAATGCATCAAAAAGTTTTTAATTTCGAAGAAAAATTTCGAAGTTTACACGGACCGTCAAGAATATATTTCAAATATTTCAACTCATTGGCTTTGAATTGTATTATTTGTAATGAAAGCGTTTTATTTTTATCTGAAAGCTTAGAAGATCACATACGCTCGCATTCTAAGGAACAATTAGAAAAACATACATATCATAGTTGGTTATGGAAATATTGTACAAAAAGAGATGATTTTGTGGTGGAATGTAATATTTGTCACAACAATTTATCTCTTTCTGAAACTCATCTAGATCATCACATAAAAATGACAAATTTGGGTAAAAGGAAAAACACGCAAGAAACACACCACACGGATGATTCGTCAGAAATCGTTAGATCACTTAAAATGGATAAAATGTCTATGTCACCAAAAGATCGTTAAGTATTATTATCGAAATGTCTAACTTTGGTTATGACACATTACATATAAAAAGAATGCTTGATAAGTTTTTTAATTTTAAACAAAGATAACGAAGTTTACATGGAATATCAAGAATATATTTTAAATATTTAAACTGATTGGTTTAAATATTAAAAATGCATTATTGTTAATGTTTTATTTTTATCTGGATGTTTAGAAGATCACGTACGCTCACATTCTAAGAAACAATTTTAAAAATATACATTTCACAGTTGGCTGTGGAGAAATTGTACCAAAAGAAATGATTTTTAAATAAAGTATAATAATAATTGTCACAGAAGCATATCTGTTCCAATTAGAACTCTATTAAATGACCATAATATAAATAAATATCATTGGACAAGCTAACTAATCCGAATAAGAAATGGAAGTAAGTTTTATTAATAATATCATTAATATTGTTATGTATAATTGTTATGTATAAATTTTCTTGTGAATTTTTCATGTAAATATTATAAATGTTTATGTAGATATATCCAGAAATTGACAATGGAAATTATGGTAACGGCGATCAAGTTGTATCATAACCAGCAATATTGTTAGTTTTAATTTTGACGATTTAAATTTAATAAAAGATAGATACAAGAAAAATATATGTATATGATTCTGACATATAATTATTCGTTTTATGATTATAAAGTAATAAATATAATTATGTATATAAATCTACATTTTATAAAACAAGTTATATTTTTTAATGTATTAAATTTTTTTTAAATATGTAAATATATTAATAACTGTAATTAATAACTATAATTAATAACTATAATTATAAATATTATTATGTATTATGTTTTAAATTGATAAACTGTGTTCATAACTTTATAATTTAAAATGATTTAATGAAATAATAATCGACTTTCCTGTAAAGAGCAAAAATACCGACAATTCATACAAAAATTTAATTTCAAATATTTAATTTTTAATACATTTTTTTAAATCTTTTTATGTACATTTGTAATTTTTTCTCTTTATATAATGTGAATTTATTACTATAATTTCTGTAAAAGTCTCCGAAATGTAATACTTATATTAATTGCCGGTGAAAAATATAAATGAATTAAAATTGTAAAATTGTATTTATTTGAAAAATGTTCACGTGATACATAATGCATTCATTATAATAAAAATACATTCATTATAAGAGAAAGTAACTATTTTTTTATTTGAAAGTAGAATATTGTAAGGAATTGTTTGTTACAGCGCCAATTTCGTGATATTTTGCATCATTGTATAATACAATAATTATAAAATTCGAGATGCTTAGTATATTTAAAAGAATAATTACAATAATTATTATTTAGAATTATTAATTACTCCCAATGTAGATTAACTTTTATAATTATGGCAAATATCTTTAAAAATTATAAAAAATACTGATAATTATAAAATTACTGATAATTGAGGCGTTCAGTTTTAAAGTGGATCAAGTCTTAAATTTTAAGTTCTAATTCGATTCTTGTCTTAATTAATACAGCTGACGTTCTGAGGTCATAACCAAAATTTAAACTCGACGTCTTGTAACAGTGCTGAATGAGAAATCCTTTAATGGCAATCAGAAAATTAATCAGAACAAGTTAACTTTAAACCAATTTATCTCAATAATATGAATATTAAATTTGATTTACTTTAAAACTGAGTACCCCAATTATATAATATTATATTTGTTTTATTAAGTATTTGTTTTAAAAATAAATAAAAATTTGAATGCTTGCATTAATTATTTTTAAAATATAAATTATATTACGTAACAAAACTGATAATTGCGTTATTAGCCCATTTAAAAAAAAAACCCAACATTTAAAAAAGAAACTAAACGACGTAGATTCTTTTGTTTAAACATTAATTTTTGCACATGATTTATACGACTTGCGGTTAATATTTATTTTTTATACAAATTATTCAAAGTGTCTTGTTTGAATCTTAATACATTTCCGAATTCTTGATTTGAATCCTTTCTGAATGCTGTTAAAAACACAACTCTATTTATTTAATATAAATATTCACTAAAACTACGATCTAACTATTTATTTTCGAATTATTTTCCACTACATATTTATATAATAACCTAACCATAAGTTTAACTAATTTTCATAGGTGAATAACAGGATTTGTGTTAAATGACTCTGTATACGTATAGTACTGTAAATTGCGACAATAATAATAATAATTAATGTTGATATTATAACATTATTTTTATTAAAGATATAGATATAATATATACTTTTTGTAATTCTAAAAAAATTAATGGCTCTCGTAGTGCGCGCTTGTATGTCTAGTTTAATGAAATTACTTAATACATTTATATATCACGAAATCCATCAAAACTCTTGCACATTCACTCAATATATCTTATATTATTAAGAAACGCTCAAATAATTTTGGTACGCAAACGAAGTATTGTCAAAGTGTGCTTTAATAAAAATATTCAAACGTAAAAAGTATTAAAATATTCTTTACTTTAATATAAAAATTCAAGATCAAATCTAAAGCATTATAAATGTTGTTGATGGACAAATAAAAATAGAGATGTAATAACAAATTCAAATCAATAATTCTAAGCATCTTGCAAAAAAAGAATCGACGATGTTAATGCCATTTCTGAAAATACATCAGGTAGATAAATGCATACACATAATAATTTTTCTATGCAATTAGTCAATCAAGTCAATTTATTTCTGCAGTATATGAATTTCATCTAGCGCACATATAATTTCGAAAAATAATGTGTATCTTTTTGATATAACCATAACTTCAAAATAAGTTTATTTGTTACATATAGATACAATATTATTTGTACAATGTTTCTTACACAACCGCATATTCGTGTAAAAGATACGCTGTGACATCTTTTTCGCTGAAATATTAGTAGGTCTTACAAATACTCGGCATGAAATGTCACGGCGTGTTTCATATTTGTTAGCTAGGTTTGGTCGACGTATCAATATTTACATTCAAGTGGAAAACTGTACGTCTTCTTGCGTCCTCTTTTATACTTTTCGACACGAAGCTTCTGATATCGAATTTAGTTACACTCGTCCAGTCACTTCAAACGGGCACAATGTCTCAAAGTAGTGTAATTAAAAAGCATGTGTGGAAATATTATACAAAACGGTCGGATTTTAAAGCACAGTGCAAGTTTTGCGAAAATATATATATTTATGAAAGCCTTTCACATTTTGAAAAACATATATCAAGAAATCACATAAAAATTTGGAAATACGAAGAACAGAAAAAACTAATAAAATGGCCATGGATGTATTTCAAGTATCAAAATAAATTATATTCACAATGTATTATCTGTGAAACAAATGTTCCGTCTACATCTGAATCTGTAGAAAATCATTTAAACTCGCATTCTGAAGAACAACGGAAGAATCATATACTTCGCAGCTGGTTGTGGAAATATTGCACAAAAAAAGATGATTTTGTGGTGGAGTGTAATATTTGTCACGACAACGTATCTATTTCTATGGAGTCTACACTGAATCGTCACATAAAAATGATACATTCTGACAAACTAAAAAAAACACGCAACACAGTTGATTTATCAGAACGCATCTCATCACTTCAAACGAGCACAACGTCTCAAAGTATTGTAACTAAAAAGCATGTGTGGAAATATTATATAAAACTGTCCGATTTTGAAGCGCAGTGCAGGTTTTGTGAAAATAAATATAATTATTTAGATTTTTCACATTGTTATACACATATATCAACACAACACACAAAAATTTGGACATACGAAAAAAAGAAAAGACTAATAAAATGGCCATGGATGTATTTCAAATATAAAAATAAATTATATTCACAATGTATTATCTGTGACACAAATGTTCTATCTACATCTGAATCTGTAGAAAATCATTTGAACTCGCATTCTGAAGAACAACAAAAAAATCATATACTTCGCAGCTGGTTGTGGAAATATTGCATAAAAAGAGATGATTTTGTGGTGGAGTGTAATATTTGTCACAACAACTTATCTAATCCTATTCAAGTTAGCCTGGATCATCACATAAAAATGGTACATTCGGACAAATTAATAGAAACACGCGACACAGTTAGTTTGTCAGAACGCATCTCATCACTTCAAACAGACACATTGTCCCAAACTATTGTAACTAAGAAGCATGTGTGGAAATATTATATAAAACTGTCGGATTTTAAAGCGCAGTGCATGTTTTGCAAAAATAAATATAATTATTTACAAACTACACATTTTAATGTACATATATCAAAACATCACCCAAAAATTTGGAAATATGAAAAAGAGAAAAATCTAATAAAATGGCCATGGATGTACTTCAGGTATCAAAATAAATTATATTCACAATGTATTATCTGTGACACAAATGTTCTATCTACATCTGAATCTGTAGAAAATCATTTGAACTCGCATCCTGAAGAACAACGGAAGAATCATATACTTTGCAGCTGGTCGTGGAAATATTGCATAAAAAGAGATGATTTTGTGGTAGAGTGTAATATTTGTCACGACAACGTATCTATTTCTATTCATTCTACACTGAATCGTCACATAAAAATGATACATTCTGACAAACTAAAAGAAACACGCGACACAGTTGATTTATCAAAACGCATCTCATCACTTAAAATGGACACAATGTCTCTAAATATTGCAAATAAAAAGCATATGTGGAAATATTACATAAAACTGTCCAATTTTGAAGCGCAGTGCAGATTTTGTAAAAATAAATATAGTTATTTACACGTTACAAAATGTCGTACACATATATCAAGACGTCACACAAAAGTTTGGAAATACGAAAAAGAGAAGAAACTAGTAAAATGGCCATGGATGTATTTCAAGTATCAAAATAAATTATATTCACAATGTATTATCTGTGATGCGAATGTTCCTTCTACATCTGAATCTGCAGAAAATCACTTAAGTTCGCATTCTGAAAAACAACGAAAGAATCATAAACTTCACGAATGGTCATGGAAATATTTCACAAAAAGAGATGATTCTGTGGTGGAGTGTAATATTTGTCACAACAACATATCTGTTTCTGTTTGTTCTAGCCTGACTCGTCACATAAAAATGTTACATTCGGACAAATTAGAAAATATACAAGAAACACACGACACAGCTGGTTCGTCAAAACACGTTTTATGACTTGAAAAAATGGACACAATGTTTATGTCACCAAAAGATTGTTATTTCGATACGTCCAACTTATGGATACATATCAAAGAAATGCATAAAAAAGTTTTTAGTCTGAAAGAAAAATTCCGAAGTTTACACGGACCGTCAAGAATATATTTCAAATATTTCAACTCATTGGCTTTTAATTGTATTATTTGTAATGAAAGCGTTTTTATTTTTATCTGAAAGCTTAGAAGATCACATACGCTCGCATTCTAAGGAACAATTAGAAAAACATACATTTCATAGTTGGCTATGGAAATATTGTACAAAAAGAGATGATTTTGTGGTGGAATGTAATATTTGTCACAACAATTTTTCTCTTTCTGAAACTCATCTAGATCATCACATAAAAATAACAAATGACAAATGACAAATTTGGGTAAAAGGAAAAACACGCAAGAAACACACCACACGGATGATTCGTCAGAAATCGTTAGATCACTTAAAATGGATAAAATGTCTATGTCACCAAAGATCGTTAAGTATTATTATCGAAATGTCTCACTTTGCACATTACATATAAAAAGAATGCTTGATAAGTTTTTTAATTTTAAACAAAGATAACGAAGTTTACATGGATTATCAAGAATATATTTTAAATATTTTAACTGATTGGTTTAAATATTAAAAATGCATTATTGTAAATATTTTATTTTCATCTGGATGTTTAGAAGATCACGTACGCTCACATTCTAATAAACAATTTTAAAAATATACATTTCACAGTTGGCTATGGAGAAATTGAACCAAAAGAGATGAGTATAATAATAATTGTCACAGAAGCATATCTGTTCCTATTAGAACTCTATTAAATAACCATAATATAGATAAATATCATTGGACGAGCTAACTAATCCGAATAAGAAATGGAAGTAAGTTTTATTAATAATATCATTAATATTGTTATGTATAATTGTTATGTATAAATTTTCTTGTGAATTTTTCATGTAAATATTATAAATGTTTATGTAGATATATCCAGAAATTGACAATGGAAATGATGGTAACGGCGATCAAGTTGTATCATAACCAGCAATAATGGTAGTTTTAATTTTGACGATTTAAATTTAATAAAAGATAGATACAAGAAAAATATATATGATTCTGACATATAATTATTCGTTTTATGATTATAAAGTAATAAATATAATTACGTATATAAATCCATATTTTATAAAACAACAAGTTATAATTTTTTAATGTATTAAATTTTTTTTAAATATGTAAATATATTAATAACTGTAATTAATGACTATAATTGATAACTATAATTATAAATATTATTATGTATTATGTTTTAAATTAATAAACTGTGTTCATAAATTTATAATTTCAGATGATTTAATAAAATAATCATCGACTTTCCTGTAAAGAACAAAAATATCGACAATTTAATTTAACAAAAATTTAATTTCAAATATTTAATTTTTAATACATTTTTTATAATCTTTTTATGTATATTTGTAATTTTTTCTCTTTATATAATGTGAATTTATTACTATAATTTCTGTAAAAGTCTCCGAAATGTAATACTTATATTAATTGCCGGTGAAAAATATAAATGAATTGAAATTGTAAAATTGTATTTATTTGAGAAATGTTCATGTGATACATAATGCATTCATTATAATAAAAATAAATTCATTATAAGAGAGAGTAGCATTTTCTTATTTGAAAGTAGAATATTGTAAAGAATTGTTTGTTACAGCGCCAATTTCGTGATATTCTGCATCATTGTGTAATACAATAATTATAAAATTCGAGATGCTTAGTATATTTAATAGAATAATTACAATAATTATTATTTCATATTAGAATTATTATATATTTAATATTAATTATTATATATTTAATAGAATAATTACAATAATTATTATTTCATATTAGAATTATTAATTACTCTCAATGTAGATTAATTTTTATAATTATGGCAAATATCTTTAAAAATTATAAAAAATTTTACTGATAATTGAGGCGTTAATTTTTAAAGTGGATCAAGTCTTAAATTTTAAGTTCTAATTCGATTCTTGTCTTAATTAATACAGTTGAAGTTCTGAGGTCATAACCAAAATTCAAATTCGACTTCTTGTAACAGTGCTGAATGAGAAATCCTTTGACATGGCAATCTAATCTAATCTGAGTCGATTTCGACTCAGCCCCCCCCCCCCCAGAAAACATTAAATTCATGCTCAGCGTGACGAGCTTAAAAATTTTAACTTGACGGAA